CATCACTGACCATTCTCTTCCCCTCATAACCTTCATTCAGTCTTGCAGTTTTGCTTTCAAGTTTGATTTCCAAATACTTCCAACCATATTTCCTTAATCATAATGGCCTAAATATTCAGCGTCTCTAGCCAAGATTATGAAACTAGCTTTCCTGCTTCCATTATAATCTTTTTACAATCCTATTCTCAACCCAGCAGCCATATTATTCTTTTAAAAAGTATGTCCAAATATGCCATTCCCTTGATCAAAACCCTTTTAATGGCCTTTCTGTTGCTCTCAAATTAAAATTCAAGTCCTTACAAAATTTCTTCAAGATTCTACACATTTGGTTCTCACTGTGTCTCTAATTTCATCTCATCTGTTGCCCCACTAGTTCATTCCATTCTAGCCACACTGGCCTCCCTGTCGTTCCTTAAAGACACCAGGTACACTCCCATCTCAGGACCTTTGCAGTTGCTGTTCCTTCTACCTTGAACACTCTTCTGCCAGAAAGCTCACTCCGTTTATCTCCTTCAGGTCTTGGCTGAAATATCATTTTCTCAAGGAACCCTACTTAGACTGCCATATTTAAAATGCCAAATACCCATCCTACTCTGGCACTTCTTATTCCCCTTCCTTTTTTTTTTTTTCTTTAGTATGTATCACCCATCTTACATACTATATTTTCACTCATTTACTGTTTCTTTGTGCAGATCAAAATTTTATCCGTTTTGTTCACTGCTATATCCTCAGCTCCCAGGACTAAACTAACTGCCATCGAGTCAATTCAACTCATAGCGACCCCTCCTTGGGTTTCCAAGGCAGTATTTATATGGAAATTGATTGCCCAGTCTTCCTTCTGAGGAGTGGCTGATGGGTTTGAACCTCCAGCCTTCTGGTTAGCAGTCAAATGCCTTAGGCACTATGCCAATAGCACTCCTCGTGACAGGCCCTGTCATATAGCAGGAACTCAGTACATATTTATTAAATGAGTGATGAATAAGTATAAGTAATTTTTTGAGGAATTTTGCTATAAAAGAGAGCACAGAAATGGACCACAGGTAGGATGGGGTAAGGTTTGATTTTTTAAGTTGTGTAGTACTACAAAATGCTTATATGCTGATGGAAATGATCCAGTAGAGAAGGAAAATTTGGTAATGTAGAAGAAAGAAGGAAATCTGGGAATCAACACTAAGTAGGCAATAAGAAATGGCATCTGGTACACAATTAGAAAGACTGACCTTAGATGAGAAGCTCTAGTGGTGCAGTGGTGAAGGCATTTGGCTGCTAACCAAAAGGCTGGTGTTCGAACTCATCAGCTGTTCCAAGGGAGAAAGATGACACAGTCTGCTTCCATAAAGGTTTATGGCCTTGGAAACCCTCTAGGCATTTCTACTCTTTCCCGTAGGGTCTCTATGAGTCAAAATCAACTCGTTGGCAGTAGGCTTGGCCTGGCCTTACATGGGAGCAAAGACAGAAAGGAAGGCAAAGAATAAAGCTACAGATGCAGGTGGGTGGAATCTTGTAAAATGCCTCTAATTTCCTCATCAGCTAATTTTCTTTCCACAGCTGAGGTGAAAAGAAAGACAAAGCATGACACTGGGTATGTGAAAGCAAGAAGAAAGTATGGAATAGTTCTCTAAGAAAATGGGAGAGTGAATTAATTAGGGGAAGGTAAAAGGATTGCTAGGCTTACTTACAGTTTTTTGTCATAAATTAAAATGAGATCAGCGTGGTAGTGTGTTTACTCTAGCCATGTTCAGGTACATATGCAGAAAAGGTATAGAATTGGATTTAAGCAGGTTTTAGTGTTTTGCGGGCAAATAGGAAGAACTAAGAGATGAACAAGGTTGCTGATGATATTTATGATAAAGTAATGACCATGATGGACCATGAGATCTAGGCCAGGTAAGATGGGATGTGAGGGCATGAGGAGTGAGCATGTATGGGGGGTATTGTTGGAGACATTGTAAAGAATATTAGGTGAATGAATCAGCCTGTTTTAACAAGTTTGAAGAATTTTTGATTTGGGGGGTATCACAGGGAATAAAAGAAGCCTGGTGGCATAGTGGTTAAAATACTTGGATACTAACCAAAAGGTCAGTGGTTCAAACTCATCAGCTGCTCCATGGGAGAAAGATGTGGCAGTCTGCTGCCATTAAGGATTACAGCCTTCAAAACCTGATGGGGCAGTTCTACTCTGTCCCACAGGTTTGCTATGAGTCAGAATTGATTTGATGGCAATGGGTTTCGTTTTTTGATAAACCATAACTAAATTTGGTGACAGAGAATAAGTCACAAAGACAGGAGATGCTGGTCAGAGAGAAGGACACTTGAAAATGGGATTATGGAGAGTTATTGTCAGTAACAAAGTCCAGAGTCTGACCACAGGGTGGGTGGCTAAGGTGGAGTACAGGGCAAGTTTGTTGGACAAGAGGTCAACAATTTAGAGGAGAAGGTATTGGAAGGATCAACTATGTGACTAATAAAATGCCAAAATCAATCCAAGCATAGTGTTAAGAAGACAATGGGAAAGTGCTAATTTCTCCTTTTGACTGATACATAGTGATGTGAAGTTTTACTAATAACCACAATAAGTAGGTGTAGTAAATGGCAGAATTATATTTGCACAGACTTCAAAGGGCCTTAACTAGGAGACTTTATGGAGAAGGCATGGGAAATTATCTGTAACTAGCAATGAGGGGCAAGGAAAATATCTCACCCCATTTCAAGGCTAAGTGATATAAAAGAGGCCTGCAGCAGAAATAATAAGTCACTAGATAGTTTTCAGTTGGTATAGGAAGGTGGAGGAAAGGAAAAGGTTCTGAGAAAAGGTTAAGAATGTAGAGGGCTGAGATTCCATCAGCAAAAGCCTTCACTAGCTAGTGAACCTGAATATCCAGAAACTTTAAAATTCAAAATAGAAACTAAGACAATCTAATTTCCAAGGGTAAGAAAACACTACATCTTTTATTGAAATGTGTTCATATTTTAAGCTGCTCAGGTTCTTATCCAACTCAAAAAATGGAGCCTGGTAACCAAAGTGATTAAGCAATTCCCATTGTTGGAAAAAAGAAGGCAACTTAAACAAAAAGTGTTACATAAAACATATGTGCTTTAAAGCCATAAAATACAGAAGTACATGTTGATGTTGTAAGATGATGCCACTGAACCTACTGGGACAGCCCAGTTGGCTCAGAAGGGGACCATTAGACTAATGAGAGTTTTGAGGTCTTTTTTCACTATTTTTGTATCTCTATTATTTTAAAATGCTGAGCTAATTCAGGCTCACTAGTCTATGGATTGGTGAGTAGGGAAAAGCTTTCAATAGTATTTGGCTATACTGTTAATCACCTGAGAAAAGTTCTTGTTATGTCATGGGATGGGAAGGAAAGAGAAAGAGAAAGTCACTTAGTTCTTCAATCATGAGTTGATACAGTGTGCCAGAGATTCCAGATTCTGAGACACTCAAAAGCTGAGATACTTAGAAGTGCTAGCCTAACTCTCAGCCACCTAGTTTTGTCCTTAACATCTTCCTAGCTCTTCTTATGAGTGAAGAGATGTCACTCTTATGTAGTGGGAAAAACCTAGGCTATGTAGCAACAACTGCCACTTACTGTGCACTTACTAGATGCCAGCCTCTACACTAGACCCCTGGCAGTGCAAATGGGGACCTCAAACTGCCCTGCATCCTGTGTCTGCTGAAGGCTGAGAAATTGCTCTTGTGGCTTCAGGTCTTAAAAAAACACTGATGGATTATTCCAGTTCCTTGCATCCAGTGAATAGGTAGGTTCACATGAAGTCTTTTCTTCCTAATTAATGCAAAGAAATACCCACTCGAATTTTCATTTGACTCACTGTACATTCTGAATTGGTGGAGTCCAAATTAATGAGGTTTGTTATGCTGAGGGAAGTGATTTGATGATTGGACTCTTCTTACCTTGTCAGTGCAGAGCTAGCATTTCAGAAGGGAAGGGAAGAATGAGGTTTATATACCTGATGGTAATATCTTTCATGAAAGATGCAGAATCCAACTGTTTAGTATTTCTATCCCTCTCTACTTCCTACACAGCTTGTAAGAAATGAGGTGCCTCACTCTATTACTCTAATTGAATTCCAACTTGGGTAATTACACTACAATTAAATAAATTTTCCCCATAGTTTTAATTCACTGACAAATAGTGCTAGTCAAACAGCTACAATTCACTCCCCCAAATGCATCCCCACTACATTTCAGAGATGAGTGAAATGATTTATATTTGAGAGATGTGTGTCTGAAAAAATGCATAGTTCATAAAATATTTTAGGTATCATTCATGATTACATATGCTTTGCTCAGCATGAGATAACATTCATTTCTATTATAATCTTTCATCTAATTTTTCATATGCTTAGAGACAAAAGAAATAAGGCAGTTAATTAGCATTTCTTGTTTTCAGAACAATTTTTGTTTAGTTAACCAGTAGCTTATAACTACTTGTATTTTTTTAAATTCTAGAGCACATTTCATTATTCCCGAGGGATAAACTGTGGTAGGTGTTATTGTTTCCCATTCTACAGATGAGAAAATTGAGGCAGTATTCCCCAAGGTAAGGAAGCTAGCTATTATCAGTACTAGCTCTGGAATTCAAGCTTCCTCTGATCCTGGCCCAAGGCTCTTTCTGTCAAACACTATCAAACACTGGGTCACTGTCAATCACTTTAATTTCACTAATGAGAAAATAAAGAATAGCACATTTTGTAACCTGTGCCACAGGCCATTAATTTGTAATAATTACTGATTTAAGCAGAAGCTAAAGGCCCAAATACTGGGTCCTGATGCTGTCCTGGAATCTTGAGATTACATAGATTTTTTGTGTCTGAGTGTTCTTACTTAGTACAGCTCAACTGGAAGAACAGTTCAAAATGTGATGCAAAGTGGTACAAAAGGATTCAAATTTCAATTTTATTCTAATGACTTTTCTTAAAGGGTTGTAGATGGCTTTTAATAAAAGTATTAAAGACAACATCAAAGTACTTACAAATAGCAGCAATAGCAGCGGTGTTATAATGATGCCCTGAAAGAAATAAAACAGATGATGATCATTTATCAGCATGGAAAACAGGGCAATTCTTTGCCATTTTAAACTCTGATGCATGGAAATGCTTATCCTTCTCACTTTCGTTTAATAAAATCTAGGAGATCCAATCTCGGCTCTCCCTACAATAATGCCTTAGCATCTCTATTACAATTATTTGTATTTGACATCATTAAAAGTCCAACCACCAATCTTCCTTAAACTTGTCTTTCCTTTTTTAAACTTAAGTTCCCTTCTCCAGTGCATGTGTATCACAGGGGTGAAAGCTGGTGGTTGGCAAGCTTTCTCACTCCAAGGCTTTCAACTCTAACTTGGATAAAGTGCCCCTTTTCAAGAGAAGACAGGTGGTTTAGTCCCAGTTGGGGTCCTCTCCTGAGCAAAGACCACATCAGTTGTGATGAATGGGATGTCGTGATTTTGTAATGTGCACTGATCTCCCCTAGGAAATGAGCTGGGATCTCAAAACTCATTTCACTTGATTAGACTCCATGTCTCCGTGGTGGAAGGCAAGTCTTTCATCTAATTTAGCCACACAGGACCACCTCAGTCCCTCTGCCTCCCCTAGGCAGAAACGAGCAAAAGATTTGTTTTCTTCGATGACAGGGAACAGTTTGAGGCTGGTGCCGATGAGGCAGGATACAGGTTTTAGGTTTCTTGAAGGTAAATCTTTAAACTCGGTATTTGAGTTGGGAGTTAACATGACAGGTTTCACTTTTAAAGCTGCAGATGATTATTTGCACTTCATATTTTTCCTCTCTCTCTCAATACTTCACTATGATTTATATAAGAAAAAAACACATTTCATATTTTTATTAATGAATTCTACTTGGAACTTTAACTCCAGAGAATTGGAGGGTGTAAGTGTGTGTGTGTGTGTGTGTGTGTGTGTGTGTGTATGAGAGAGAGAGACTGAGAGAGACCAAGACCATACTGTGCCCAGGATCCATGTCTGGGACAACTTCTTTCATGTTGGAAAGAAGTCCTTTTGGTATGCATAAAGAAGTCCTTTCCTCACTAGGGAACTCTGGCAGTGTAGTCCCTAAGGCATTCGAATGCTAACCACCAGGCTGGTGGTTCAAACCCACCAGCCACTCCCTGGAAGACTGGTGATACTGCCATACGGATACTGCCTTGGAAACCCCAGGAGGGGTTGCTATTAGTCGGATCCAACTCAACAGCACTGAGTTTGTCACTAAAGTAACTAAGTTTGTTTGGATATGGTCCAAGAGGGACTGGCTCACATTATATGAACATTGATGCCATGACTTTCTTGAGCATACACACACATGAATATCCACACATGAACCTGCTTTATCATTAAATAATAGAATAAATGGTTCTTCATTGTGTAAACTTCTGCAGTTGGCAAAAGGGAATAAAACATTTTAACTTAAGTGTTATATTTTTAAATCTACTCATTAAAACATGTTTTATAGCTTATCAACTGCACTGGCATCAATGAAATAGGTTTTCATTAGCATATTTCAGAGAGCTAAATTCTAACTGCAAAAATAATATTTAATGATTGTCTTCCAATGGCACACAATGTATGTCATATTTTGGGAAGAACTCTAAACTCTACAAGGTCATGTTTTTTAAACTTTACAAGGTCAATGTTCCACATTTTCACATAGAAATGAGAATATCTTGCTAGTGTCAGTCTACATGGGAGCCAGACAGTTAAACACATGATTAAACGCACTGGTGCAAGGAGGAAAGTGGTGTGAAAGAGGAGGTGATTATTTCTCTCATGGAAGTGATGACAAGGAAGACACAAGAACAAGATTTGAATAATTAGTGGAATTGACCCAGCACAAAAGTGGTAATGGCATTCTAGGAAGAGAGAAGGTGCAGCATCAATATGGATCTATAAGGAGATGAACAGGGCAGGAAAGAAAATGTGAAGTCAGATCACCAAAGGCCTTCTATACCAAGGCAGGGAGCCTGAAACTGATCCTGTCAATAGTGGGAAACTATGAAGAACTTGTAGCATAGTGCCTAAGGCACTTGACTGCTAACCAGAAGGCTGGCGGTTCAAACCCACCAGCCACTCCTCGGAAGGAAGGTTGGGCAATCCTACTTCTGTAGTGATAACTGCCTCGGAAACCCAAGGAGGGGTCGCTATGAGTCGGGGCCGACTCGACGGCAAATAACAACAACAACAACAACATGAAAAACTTGAAGGGAGCGTGTAATGAGTTAGTATATATTTTAATAAATGAAGAAGGGATTTGACTTAGCTTTGACTGTTAACCAGAGGGTTGTCAGTTCAAACTCACCAGCCACTCTGCAGAAGGAAGACTGGGCAATCTAATTCTGTAAAGATTTACCACCTTGGAAACCCAAAGGGGGTCGCTATGCGTCGGAATCGACTCATTGTCAGTGAGTTTGGTTTTTTTTTTTTGGTTTATAACCTAACCTAACAGTTTGATCTTTGTTATCTATGGATTTACCTAAACTCAGGTAAAGGATAATAGAAACATGTATGAATGTTAATTATAGAATATCAATAATGCTAACAACACATCTAAGAAACAAGACATGCTATCTGTGATAGGGCAAGAATTTTCACCCAGTTAGAAGGTTGAGGATTATCACCACTCAAGACATTTAGCTTTTGAAAGAATCAGTGCCACGCTGGTGATATATAGTGCAGAGGGATCCATGTTCTTCCTGATGCCCATTTCATTTTCTTGTTGTTGTTTTTCTGCCATAGTGAAAAGGTAATTGTATTAGTAATAATACTACCAGTAACATTTTAAAATGTGATCCTCCTCTGTTGAGGGAATTAGTTTACATATTAGTCTGATTTTATACACAAGAAAGTTGAAACTCAGAACAGCTAAGTAACCAACCCAAAGTCACATAGCAAAGCATAGACTTGAACCTACTTCTTCCAACTCCAAATCCAGAACTTACTCCACTACATCATTGGTAACTGGGTGGCACATTTCAGTGGCCAGTACAGTATTCTACAGAGTTCTGCTTATGGTATCTGTTTTGGTATTAGCTGCTGTATCATCCTGGTCCCCAAATTAATAACCAATTCTTAGCAATAACCACATTCTGGAAAGAAGAGCAGTATTCTCTGTATATTTTTCTGCCTGAATACTTCAAGTGCATAGTCACTAACACACAATAGTTTCTTTGCAGCTCTTCCAAGGATTTATATTTGCTACTAAAATACTAAGTTTCCTAGTGAATAAGATGTACTTTCTAATTCTGGATTCAAGATTCCTCATTATTTTCTCAAGAATGACTGTTCAAGTTCATTACCTGACACTGAATTATTATATAATGTTGAAGCCTACTTTTCAGTTGTATTAGGAAATGAGTCAGCCATGATGCCATTATCTCTGACAAGGACATTATAATTAAGTTTTTGTGAAATCATTTTAATTATTATTAAAATATTAAGAGCTAACATATGGAGTATTTTTCTTGTGTCAGATACTATGCTAAGGATTTTATGTATGTTATGTAATCCTTACAAAGACCCTACGAGATAGGAACTATTATTATCCCCATTTACTAGGTAAGCAAACTGAGCCTCAGAGACCAAGTGAACTAGTAAGAGACAAGGCTAGCAATTGAATTCATATCCCTGGGCTCCAGAGCCTATGCTCTTGCACGGTATAGATGAAATCTTTGCAATCATAACTCAAGATGATATTTTAAGAGTAAACCTGAGAGGACCTTCAGACACAGTATGTCTTTGTGACAGCATGAAACAAACAGGGAAATAAGCCTCTGTGGGACATGGAGGAAGTGATTCTGATACTTTTTTTTTCAAGTGATACTTTTTTTTTTGCAAATGTCAATGGTGAAAAAAATGAACTAAAAATTTAAGCTGTAACAGCAACAATCATTGAAAGTCAGAAAGTCCAATAAACATGTAGTATTTTCTTGAGTCAGAATCGACTAGATGGGTAGTGGACTTGGTTTTTAGTTTTGGTCTTCTCTCAAAATAAGGCTCAGTTTGATTTCTTTACCTTCCTCTTTCCTAAGCAAATCCTACATAAATGTAATGAGTAAAAATCAAAGAGGCAGTAGATGAGCAAGTAGTTCTAGTAAAGATGTTACCCCCCCTTCCTTCCAGATTCAAGGTCAAGACACAGTTTTAGCATCTGTGAAGTTGGGGTATGTTAAGCTTTCTGAATGTAACACCTGAAGAAGTCAAGTTACAAAGTGACTGGCTTTCATTATTTCCTGAAAAACTTTTAAAAAAAATCCATTTACACCTCTGATGTGAATGACAGAGTGAATGTATTTCAATGATTTTGGTGGAAAGGAAAGAAAAAATATGTCAAATCTGAGACACTGAGATTTAGTCATATGAAAATATAAACAAAGAACCAAATGAAAACAAAAGCAACAGAACTGTTTTTGCACAATTTTCAGCAGTAAGACTCATAAAAAACGGCAAAAGTGAAGTGAAGTTATGATTTGTTTTTAATGGAAAATGTTATCAAAGGGCTTTACTACAACTGCCGTGCTCACAAAAATGCTAAAACTGACTTAGGTTGTCTCCAGGATATTGAATGTAAGTCTTAGAAATGGTGCTTTTTATTTTTTTAATTAAAGGGCATTAACTCCACAACCGAGGAGCTCTAGTAGCATACTGCCTTAGGCATTTGACTGCTAACCAGAAGGCTGGCGGTTCAAACCCACCAGCCACTCCGTGAAAGGAAGACTGGGCAATCTACCTCCTTAAAGATTGACCACCTCGGAAACCCAAAGGGGGTTGCTACGAGTCAGAATTGACTTGATAGCAGTGAGTTTGGTTTGGTTTAACTCTACAATTTGGTGTGAATGAGATTCCATTTTCACAGAATAACAGGATCTCAATATTGCACAAGATTTTAAGAGATACCCTGATCCAGTTCTCTCTGTCTCTCCAATGTCCTCACCAGTGATGGTTGCACCTCTGCCAGGGGACATGACAGAAAACTCAAGGCAAACAAAGCCTCTGGCTGGAG